TTCCAAGGTTCTCATCAATACCTGCCAAGACCTCCCTTTAGCCCCAGACTGAATCCTATGGGTAATCAATTCCTTCAGCGCCATTATAGCCGATGACCCTATCCTCCCTTTGCCCCAGCTTTGGGTGGAGTAAGCACAGAAGAGTATACTGGAAATTTGGACAATTCCCAAAATACACAGCTGAGAAAGAAGTGGACCCAACAATTACAGCAGAAACACCATTGTGATATCCAAGACACCCTTTGCTTTGAAAAGTTTCGACAATGACATCAATTGTTCCACTGTAAATCTCAGACACCCCTTAGTTTGCGGCTTAGTTTTGATAGTGTCAAGTGGGTGGAGACACCCATATGTGAATGCACCAGTGATGCCACATAAGTGCTCTTTCAACCGCAGAGGATTCTTAAACAACACATGAACTTATTGGGAGTCTCTAGTGGTAGGTTTTAGAAAATTTGAAGTGGGGTTCTTGATTTGTGTTTAAATTGAAACAGGAGTTGAGGAAAACTTGAATTTGGGACTGAAAGGATGGTTTCTTAACAAGTATCAAAACAATTTGGCAATGTGAAATTAGTTTATTTCCCCCTTTCACAACCAATAGAGAGTGCAAAGTAAGACAGCAGGAGTAGCAGATGCAAACAGGTCCTAGAAAGCAGAGGAAAAACAGATATTGCGCACACAAGAATAATTTCATCGTCCTTCAGATATCTTGGAGTCAACCCCCCTACAAATGGGAGCATAGTATGTAGTCTTCCCTCTCTTCCTTCAACAGAGTAGAGAAACAATCAACGTATTTCCACTGTAAAGCACGAGAGCTTCAGCCTAACATTTGTTTTATTTCAACATTAACAAAGTGGAAGTAAACATTACAAATCAACAGAGGAATCAGTTCGTCAGAATATTGAACATAAAATAGGGATCAAACTCCTTCAAGTTGACGTTCACACCCATCAGAAGAGGAAATAAAAGTGAATCCCATTAGTGCCACAATTGCAAAACTAAAATAGATGGTCACTAATTGGCCAGATATACAGGGCCAAACCAAGCTCCTATACTACAAAAGCGTTGAAAGAAGGACTTAACATTGTGGGTTTCGTTTCAGGTTTTTCCCGTCTCGCTTCTTCAAAGTAAAGAATAGAAAGGAAACAGAAAACATATTACTCCATTAGTCCCTTTTCACTACAGTAAATGGTTATCCATATCAAATATGCATAGAAATGTTTGTTAATTTACCCACTAAAGGAAATTCTGTCTTCACGATGTAAAAGCTATAATTAGTGAATGAAGCCACAGCCAAACTCTTGGTCTATGAACAATCTGATCATAACTGCATATATGACCTAGTTAAAATTGTCTGAGGAAGTTAAATAGGACAAATTCAGACATTATATGCTTATTTGGAATCAATATCATAAAAAGCAAGACCAAAGAACAGATTTCAAATAGCAAGCAAATTTGATGATAGCACAAGAAAACTACCAATGCCCTTGAATCTTCCCTCTGTCCTACTTTGAAAATCTTCTTTATGACATAGGGGCTAGAATATTTCAAGAAGAATCTTTTGATTAGATCTAAGGGCTCATCCCAACTTCAACTACTGAAACAATATTAAAATAACAAAATTCAAGCCTACACTTCTCTTTGAAAAAAACTCTTTGAGCAAGACATTCAGAATTATATTTACACCTTTAACTGAACTGAGAGAAGTGATGAAATTTGAATATCTCCTACCCACTACCTAACAGAAAATACTTCAGCCTATAGAACACATTTTCTTCGTGATCGTTACACATTTTCTATTTGATCACTAAAGTAGAACTTCTAGATAATGTCTATCATATCTCCCAGCTTTTGGAATAACAAATCAGAAAGCCCTCAACTTTTACATCTCAAGGTGCTCAAGAATGCTTTAGTAGTGGAATCCTACATGAAGAATCCACAGTAAACGCATGGCTATACATTGAATGTATATATTTCAAATTTCATCCAAGTTTTAACTTAGAAGAAAAGAAAAAGGTATGTTACATTAAGAATAACACAAATAGTATAAAGTACAAAAATGGTGCAAAATGAACTATGTAAGTGGCACAAAATATTTCTTGAGATAAAAAAAAAACAGTTTGTAAGTCTCAGGACCTCTCAACAACAAAAAGACAGTTAACAAAATAAATTGAGCAGATTAGGTTCAGACATATATCATCATTCAGAAGTAGCCAATCTTTATCTGAAAAGAAATATGTAAGGAGAGAAAGGAAGGAGCTGATCCTAGCAGATTCTTTTAGCTCATCTTATAAGCTTTTCTTGGTGGGGCAACAGGGAGAGGCACAAGGAGATCAGAGAAATAAAGTGATGTTAATATGGATATGTTTACATCTTCCGTTCCTTATGGATTATTGTCATCAAACAGAACTTTGTAAAACCGCTTTCTCTCTTCCGGATCAAATATGCCACCTAGATCTCCTCCCTCTTGTTCTGATGTTTCGTCGCTTTGGTTCCTCCTTTTCTCTGGCTTTGGCATTATCATGCCTCTGTTCCTCTTCTTCTCCAAATTTAATAGATAATGTCTGCGATTATATTCATGGAGTCCCTCCTGCATCAATTCACCAAACTTCTCCTTGACAACAAGAAGATGATCCTTTTCGATCAGTTCAGACCCATTATATGCTTCCCTCAGGAGAACTGTATAGATCTGGTATCTGTTAGAAACATAGAATATTCCAGGATGTTTGAGCAGAAGAACATTTAATTTCTCTGGTAGACATAATTCTCTTCTAAAATGGCCCAATTTGAAAATTGATGCTTTCTTCCACAAGGTCAATGACAACAATTCATGCACCAACCCCACTGTTCTCTTGTCCATTTCCTTTGAACCCTCCACTAAACCATCAAATCCTGAATAAGGTGAAATATATGGAGTAGAATTAAAATCTTCAAACCTTTCCAATGATTTGACCCAAGTTGGAGGCAATGAGCACGGAAAGCATGGCTCTCGACCATCCTTTTTAGCCATTGTTTCGATTGCAGAAATAGCTAAATCAGGATTCCAGGCTGTGAGCTCTATCTCCATCGAACTCCGTCTCCCAGTGTGGTTAACAACTCTAAATATTTGAGGGTACTTAGGTACAATTCTGAGCAAATAATCATCAGGAAATCCAAAATTTCTCCTTAGTTCATTAAGTTTCATAACATTTAACCTTTGATCACGGGTCATCATCAACAACTTAGCTAATCGGTCTGCGTATAACGGTTCTTGCATATCCTTTACAGACTCTTCCTCTTGAGCCAAAAACATCATTCTCTTAGTCATCCCACAATAATACTCGTCATTCTCAAGGTAGACTTCAAAGCAACAAGGGTATTTTTTAAGCCAATTTAAAGCTTTGCCTTGAAGATCAAGAGTCTTAAACTTCTTCTGCAGATACTTAACTGATGCGACCTGGTCAGGACATCTCATAATAATGTTCTTAATCTGATTATTAACTACCCATCTACGATTTCTATGTAATGCAGCTTCAAGATCTGGATCTTTCTTCATTGACCAGAGAGAAAACCTTCGCACAAGATGAAAATTAAACATTGCATCACATAAACTCAAGTACCCATTTCTTGGGGTTTTCACATAAATCCAAGTTGCCATTTACTAATCACCACTTCCACAGTACGAGCTATTCGTTCAGACAAACAAAGTTCATATTTTGAACCCAGATACTCGAATGGAGATGGGGTTAGCGGTACAAAGTTCAAATTTTGAATGCCCTAGAATGCTATAACTATGATTTCTCTTCGTTCTAAAAAACAACAACATAGAGTCTGCTACAGAGAACATATGAAATCAATTCAGATTCATTTGAAGGCGCAATTTGATAATATTGGAAACCCAATTGCTTAAATTTGCAGAAAAGATGAAATATTGCTTACTACCAAAACAACGAGAGAACCAATAATCGGAGAGGCGAAGGGATCTTGGGTTTTCTGCTCAGTGTTATATTGGAGAAATACATTTCAAACTTTTTAATAAAATATGATTTTTACCCATAAATTCTAAAAGCCGTTAAAATTAAATCATATGTTTGTATATTATATAGCAAGATAGAAATGTCGATGTAATAAGATTTATGACTTTCGCAACAAGTCAATTAGGTCGATCTTTATAACAAATAACAAATAGTGTTCATGACATTGAGCAATGTGATAGTTCGGAGTGAGTGCAACAAACATCTATCCATACTGCATGAAGTAGACGAAGCATATGATTTTATTACTCTGAATCGATTATTCGTTATTTTCATCAACCCTATCATCAATTTCATATTTACTGAATATTTCATCACTATTTTGATGTTTACATAAAAAAAAAATTGTGTAGTACATTGCAAACAACTACTATAGAGGTTTTTTTTAAAAAAAATAAAAATTTGATACTGAATGTGAATTTTTTTAAAGCTCTCAAATAATGAAATTTGACCTAATATTAGTTTTTTTCTAGTATTTAAGAATTTGGATTATTTGTCAAAAATATTTGTCGAATAATGACAATATGTATAAATAAACACTATTGGCCAAATCTTTTCCCAAATTTTAATTGAAAAAAATCTATGGTCAAACAGGTAACATTATGTTTGGATTATTGTTATTTATTATTTCATAAGGTATCGTATCGTATTGTACTAATATTTTAATGAATATAATGTTTGAATAAATTATTTCGTTCACCATAATTACGTAATATCATATATTTATAATTTAAATGATAAACCAACAAAAAAAAGTGAAGGGCAGAACTAATATGAAAAATACTAAAGTAACAAAACGATTACACCAAATTGATCGTTGCATAAAATGAATGTTTTATTCTTACCTAATGATACAACTATAATACAAATGGGTTACAACCATCCAAACAAAGCGTTGGTTGTATAGTTTTCAAGATATAGTCAGTTTTTTTAAAAAAGAAAATTATTTAATATTTGGTCAGTTTGTAGCAAGTAAATTACGCAATATATCTAAAGGAGCTATTTAATTAGCCCGTTGAATATATGCAAATGAATGTTTTATTCTTACACTTATTACATTGTCATATGAGGACATTACATTTTCCTCAAAAGACAAATTCTGTACTAACTAGGCTCATGCATTGTTTCTATAATAAGAGCATTGGTGTTCTTGTGACAAGGTCGATAATAAATCTCTTAGTATAGAGTTCAACTCATCTGACAACAGAAAAGTGGAGCTGTCATTGGTAAGCCTGTGAGTTACCTCAACCTGCAAAATGAGAAGCCAATATGTAAACACTACTAGTTCAAGGTATTATAACTCTGTTTGACAAAGAAAATGGCAATTATAACTATTAAACTTTCACAGAAACAGAAAATCAACATATTGATAGTTCAATGCAGTTCAACATTAGAAGAATTCTACTTACTGATGGAACTAATACAGGTAATAACATGTCCCCTCATACAGTCGTTAGTTATCTTGGTTCATGGGAAAAAAATATACTCCAAACTGATTGAGACATTAAGATCAAGTGCCATAACAAACTAATGTTATCCCATGGATAGACAGATTCAGATTGAAGGAGACGTTTTGAGTCATTTAGTTCACATGCACAGATTAAAAATTGTAAGAAATAGATGTCTACGGGAAAATCATTCAGTTGCTACCACTTGAGCAGTTGGATCTTATCGCTATTTTTTGGCATTTCCATCTCTCTACTCAAATGTGTTTAATTTGGTTTCCAGATTTGGAGATCTTTTTAAATCTACACATGACAAGCATATCACCCCCCTCTCCCACCGTGCCACGTCTAGAACCTCTCCCCCCACCCAAAAGAAAAAGTTGGCATTCTTTCTCACCATGCCAAGGTTGCCATTCTCCCTTTCCTTACAAAACACTTCCCTCCTTCCCATCACAAGCATTCTCTTTGCGCTCCTTCCATTAACCCCACAGCACCAAGTTCAGCATTTTTCCTTAACTCCCCACTCCACCCCATATGTCTTTATCTTCTCCATACCCGAAGATGTAACCACTAGACATCTTTCTTCCTCCCTCCCACCTATCTAACCTTACACCAGAACCCCTATCCACGTACTTCATAACTCCAAACAGCCTTCAAGAACTACTGATTGCAACACAAATCATGAGGGCATAACAGAGACTGTGAAAGTACCTCTCAGTATTTAGATCCTTCCGCGTTACTCCTGATGGAATCTAAGTCATAGTTTTAGACAGCACTGCCAAAATGATACTTTCTAACAATTATATGCATTGCATGAGGCACCTGCAATGGCGAAGTGTCCAATATGAAGGTAAGCTATCAAAGTAACTTCTACAAAAGAGGAGTTTAAGGACTAAACCGAATAACAAACCTGCAATAAGTGTGATCACATAACCTCTTTTATAGGAAAAACTTCTATCAAAGAAAATAATCTCTCAGGATGATACCTGGTGACCAGCCTTGTGTATATATCCGAGAGACCTAAGAGCATCAATATGTTGCATCTCAAAGAACTGGCAAGAGATAAACTCAATTAGCCTTTATTAGCTTTTGTTGAGGAGAAATAAGACTATACATATTATATCCAAAAGAAAGCCGACCTTGTTAACTAAATTAACCATTCCATTACTGTGCATTGTAGATTATGCTCTCTGAAGCAACCTATCAAATTATAATAAACAATCAGACACTAAGAAATAAACACACAAGTTGTTTCTAATGAATCTATGAAGAATAGATTACTTACCATTTGGAAGTGCCAAATAAATCACGAATTGTGAGCAGATGCCCCCTGTGGCTGCATGGAAGTTTCATAATCATAAATGTTAGTGCAACGGCATATGACATCTAACCCTCCCCATAAGCAAATTTGAGCCCGAAACACCAACAGCACCTAAGTTTGAATAACCAAAAGAACATATAAATGGTAGTAATACATGAGCAAGCAAAATGCCATGACATTTCAGTGGAATTCACACAAGCAATAGATTACTGTAAGGAGAAATGGTCTAACCCATACTTGTAACTCACTGCAAGGAAATCTAAATTGAGATAAAATTAAATATCAGGATTCAGGTAACACTTAAGTAGAAATTGGCCTGGAGAACCTAGACATCTTAACGTTAACAAATAATAATATAACGTTTACATGTACTCATCTAGACATACACAACTGTAGAGGCTACTGTGAAAAATGAAGTCTACTGCCACAGATAATTCTCAGCATTTAGCAGAAAATATGTTCCCATAATGGTCTAATACTAACAACAATACAATGACAATTAGGAAAACCAAAAGCAGAAAACCCATAAGCATGGTAAACTTGCACAACCTAAACTCAATGAATGAAGATTGTCAAAGAGCCTGAAATACCAAAACAAATTCATGATGCATGAATCTTTCCATTTTATACAAGTGTTCAAACATTTCAGAGAGAAAAGAAAATGGAGCATACACCACATGAGTAGAGATAAAAGATTTAGATATAATCACGTGCTAGAGGCCAAATGCTCATCGTACTTAAAACTGATCTTTTAGCATTCCTGTAAATAACAACAGTAGAATTAATCCAATAAATCTTAAACAACACAATAGAAACACAGTCTCTCTTTGCAGAAAAAAATCCGATAGACAGTTTCAGTGGTCATGAAACAGCTATAGGTAACGGCAACAAAAAATTGAACCCAAACAAATGGAAAGATCATAAAAATATCATTGTTACGCAAATTCCAACTAAAACAGAGCAGTCATTAAAACCAAATGAATATTTAACTCACAGAAATATCTCAGCTATGTGTAGAATCAAGTAAATCAAGCAACTAACTTTATTCACCTTACTTGCAGCTCTGTACCTAGGCTGTGCCAACAGTTTGTCCATTAGGAGGCAATATCATTTCTAATCTCTTTGTCATTTGGTAGAGCTTCTGTAACTTTTCCTCCTCTCCCAGCTGTAAGAAAAACCTCTTCAACATCTGAAACACTAGCTCGCTCATGTGCCTACCCCTCTTCAACATTTGCTCAGAGCACTCAAATGCTTCTTCAACTCTCCCACGAGAGCACAATCCTGTGACCAGAATTTCTAAAGAATGGCAGTGTGGACAGTGCCCTTTATTCATCAGGTAATTCCATAAGCTCAAACCCAGATCAACTCTCTGGTTTTCACAAAAGAATTTCATCAGCATCACAACAGTACGTGCCTTGGGCAAGAAATTTTTGTCAACCATCCTTTCGTAAAGATCAATGACACCACCAACATCATTTGATCTTATCAATCCCCACAACATAGTGTGGTAAGTTACATTGTCGAACTCAATATTTTTCTCTTCCATCTCATCCATTAAGACTGCTGCAGATTTGACATCCCTGGATTTGGTAAGAGAACTCAAAAGGGCATTATAGGCTCCAGTGTCTGGTTGAAAATTTCTCTTGAATAGTTCATTGAATAGTTCCTTAGCTTTACTTATATTACGAGCAATCCCTGCTCCATGAATCAAAGTTGTTATTGTTTCAACTGTAGGCAAGCAATTTACCCTATCCATTTCTTCAAACAGCTTCAAAGCATCACCAAAGCGACCTTTCTTGCAGTATGCATCAATTCTTATACTGTATGTTACAGAATTAAGCTTAAAACCTCTTTTAACCATCTCATGGTAAAATAACTCTACGGCAGTAATATCCCCTGATTCCTTGAACCCCAAAAGCAAGATATTCATTGTCTTGGTATCAGGTGGGAACCTAGAATGGAGTTTGTTGAATACTGAACGAGCTTCTTTCATCTGCCTTTGTGAGCAAAATGCTCGAAGAAGAATATTGAACTCTTCGGTGCCAAATTTCTTCCCAGGGAATAAATGCTGCTCCATCTTCTCAAATGCTTCAAGGGTATCTTCATAGGACTGGTATTTTGCTATTCTTGATAGCATGATGCTCAATGACTTAAGGGTGAGCAACGACGGTTGTAGCTGTTGAATTTTCTTCATTAGTTCCCAACCCTTATCAAAGTATCGCATTCTTGCTAGTACGTGAAGTGTCTTCTCAAATGCATCAGAGGTTGGACTATACTCAGGATGGTTGAGGCAGAACTCAAAAAATTCATATGCTTTAAGACCATTTGCATGTGCCGCAAATAGGCGACCAATGACATTTTCAACAAACATGGTAGACAGGATACTCGAAGAGACATGACGTTTAAGCATTGGTTGCAGAGGCTGAACAGGAAAAGGGTGGTCATTGATGATTCTAGCAATTGTTTCAACTTCATCTTTTGTTTCTGAAACAGAATGAACCAAACTGCTTGACAAAAAGCGCTGTCCAACAACTCGCAAAACTCGGCCAAATTTATCTATTCGAGTAGAAATCACAACCACCATTTTAAGCAAAAAGTCAAAGTTTTGCACTTCAATCAATACAAACACGCTAACAACCACTCCTTATCCTATCTGAGTGAGCTGACAATTGTTTAGCAATCTACAGAGATTTTAGCAATATATTAGAGAAAGGCAGCATCTAAAAGTTCATCAACTCAAACAAATTAAAAGGTATCCTCTTACAACACAAAAATAATACTCTAGCCTTCAGTAAATCTTAACAATTTCTAAAAAACTAATCATAGTGATAACAATACTCACTTATACCACTAAATCATACCAGCAACTAAATGAAATTAAAAGAACTCTTATTTTTGGTAACTATCAGCAACACACCCAACAGTTCCACTAATCAGTATGCAAAATGAAAAAGTGAATGCAAAAAAAAGAAGGTTTATGAATATCAAATGCTTAGGTTAGGGTTCTGTAACTCATAAAAGTGAAAGACTTACTCTAGATAAGGAAGGCCGAACGGCGACCGGCGACCGGCGACAAGGACTGCAAATTCTGGAGCGGGTGCTTTGGAGGAATGGCGAAAGCTAATCACTGCTTAAGAAAAATTGCTAACCCGTTTGATTGTTTGAGAGTTTAAAATATCTTTGTAGTATGACTTTAAGCTAGCTTTGACATTAGATTTCCAAATATTCTTGGCAAATATTATTTGAGTGAAAATTTGGGTGAAATTTCACCACGTGTTTGGCCATAAAATTTGAAAAATATATTTTACCTTTTTAGAAAAATATGATTTATACACACAAGTTTTAAAAATTATTTAAACTAATTAAAAATTTGTATTACAAGTCAATTGAATGTTTGTTACAACAATAACAAATAGTGTCCATGACACTATAGTGTCCATGACACTAAAACAGTGTGATAATTTGTGTGAGTGCAACAAGAATTATTTCATACATGGTGAAGTAGACAAAGCACATAACTTTGTTACCTAGAGCCAATTTTTAATAGTTTTCATCAACAATCATATTATTATTTAATATTCACTAAATATTTCATCACTATTTTGGTGTTAACGTAAAAAATTATGTAATACAACTCAAACAACTACTAGAGAGAGTGTTTTTATAAAAGATAAAAGATTGGGGTAAAACTTTAATTTTTAAAATATCCCAAATAATGAGATTTGGCCCAAATACTAGAAAAAACAAGTATTTGGAAATTTGGGATATTTGCCAAAAATATTTGTCAAATAATGACAAATTGTATGAACAAACATTATTTGTCAAATTTTTCCCAAATATTATTTGGAATATTTATGGCCAAACGGGCCCTAACATATAACAACCCTTGAGTTAGGGTTGTTTGGTAAAAAAATGAATAACGCATGAATTAGTAATGCAGGGAATAGTAATGTATGATTTGCTTTTGTGAAGTGTTTGATTCATTGTTTTCAATCTCAACTTGTATTTGAAATTAAATTTTTAAAAAATCTTTTTTTTCAGCTATATCCTTAAATTATTATATAATTGGATGAAGGTAGATAATTGTCGAAAAATATTTTTTTATGACATTCTCACTAGCTATGAGAAGAATAATTTTGTTGTTCTGTTCTCAATTTTCTACTTGAATTATTTGAGGATAAATAATTTTTATCTTAATAAATTGATCACTAATAAAATATCAATTTTAAATTTAAAAAAGAGAAATCAACTATTTTTAAAATTAGAAAGACAACCAACAATTGCAAAATTGAATAAACCATGTACATTTACACATAAAAATTGCAAGTTATAATTTTAATTTGTATGTAATTTTTTAAAATTGTTCATAATACGAATAATTAGTTAGATATTTGTCTTTTAATTAGTAAATATTACATAACTCGCATGTTAAATTTGTATTGATTTGAATTAGATATATTTAGTTACAACTAAGTCTCTCTAAATAATTTGTAAACTAATTTATTTAAATAATTTTATTAGTACAAATATAAAACATAAAATCAAGAAATAAAAAAAAAGTTTTGAGGGATATTTTTATCATTATATGCTTATCCCATGATATTTATATCTTATGTATTACTAATACCTCCAAATGTAAGATATTAGTAATGCATCCTATAATACCATGTAGGATGTATAAACTAATTCATGGATTATTTATACATAGGACACAATCATATCAAATATAACATTGAATTACATCATATATAATACATGGATTATTTCTTTTAATGCAGTCTACCAACCGCCCCTAAAGGTCTCCCTTTAAATCATCGTAACATAATCAGGCCTTTAACCAAATTTAGGCTGCCTATTAGTTGGTTCGAAAAATAATCAATTTAGTTATTGGTTATCAATTTATAACCATATTATTTTAAATAAATATTATGGATTTTTTATTATTTGATTAGCATTCGTGAATAATTTAACTTAATCAATAAAAAAATTAAAAAAAAATTGATCTAATTAGATGAATCAAGTTCTAATATGATAAATTCTGATTGAGAAAAGTATTGAAAAAGTCCTTAAATTTGACAAAAATTATTAATTTCGTCTTCGAACTATTGACAGTTTTAAAATCACCCATCGACTTGACCAACTGAACTGAGATATACCTCCCACCTACTACATGATATAGGAAGTGGTATTAAACTCCTGTAGGTACATGAGACTATTGATAAAAAAAACTTGAATGAATTGTTAAAAACACTCCTAAACTAAGCGACAATTTAATAGTATATTTCATTTATGTTGTAAAATTGAAGTGTATTTAAATTTAATTAGTCAAGTTAAATTACATTTTTAAGGCTATCAATAATTCATGAATAAAACTAATTTAAAAATATTTTCAAAGGTAAACTAAGTCAATTCCTCATAAAAGCAAAATAATTATAAACATAAACCCTTTTAGGATTCAAATTATACTTCTATGAATAAAGAATTGTTAGTAATATAGTAATGGCAATTGAAATTAGTTCAAACTTATTTGAGCAGATGAAAAATTGAAGTAGAAAACTACATGGTTCATGTTTAAGAATGTGGGTACATTGTTATATACAATTATATGTTATTCATATATGATTATACAAACAGATAATTACTTACATATCGTATGGATAACAATAATAACATATTTAATATAATCTTTGGAAAAGGGTCTAAAATACCCTTTAAGTATTGGAAATGGTACAAAATTACCCTCCATCCAACTATTGACTCCAAAATACCCGTCTCACCCACCTATTGGGTCCAAAATACCCTTTTCATCCACCTTTTGGTTCGAAATTAACCACTGATTTAACGGTTTTATATTTAAACTATTTAAATATTTTTTTAAATACGTAGCGCTCAACTATTTATTATAATTTAACTAATTAGTATAATTTATAAATTAATCCACTACCCACCCATTACTAATTAAACCCTCTAAATTAATAAATTACTCACATTATCAATGCGACAACTGAAAAGCTATTGCCAATTGAGTGTTTTTTAAAAATTTGAGACGAAAATATCTATAGATGTAAATTATCATACATTCAAGTGTCTAAATAAAAACTACCGATAAACTTAAAAGTCTGACTATGTTGATCTTAATGATTCTTACGTTTCAATTATGTGATGTTACTTCATAGGTAACTTTTTTTCAAAATAATATATTAAAGGTTTTAAAAACAAATCATAAATATTTATATATATTTTTAAAAAGTGCATGAATTAATTCGGAATGTATTACTTCTTTACCTTTAACCATAAATTTCTAATTCAATCTTGAAAGAGAATCATATTGAAAGTGTCCTCCCAAATAAGCGGCTCAACATAAATTTAATTGGGGCTTCAATTCGGACTCGAATAATTTTGAATGTTATTTTCATTAATGTAATAATTTCATCTTGTTTTAGTAGTGTTTATGACGATTTTGATATTATAGTTGGATTATTAATTGGGTGGGGTTTAGTTAGTAATGGGTGGGTAGTGGGTTGGTTTATAAATAATACAAATAAATTAAATTATAACCAATAGTTGAACATCAAAAATTTTAAAATTATTTAAATAGTTTAAATTTAAAATCATTAAATAAGTGATCAATTTTAAACTCGTGGATGACAAGGGTATTTTGGAGCCAATAGGTGGATGAAAAGAGCATTTTGGAGCCAATAGGTGGATGAAGGGTAATTTTGTACCATTTTCAATACTTCAAGGATATTTTAGACCCTTTTCCATATAATCTTTTGATACTAAAGAATAAATAACTTAGTAAGATATATAAAAAAAATTAAATAAAAACCAAAGTTTTGGAGATATAAAGAAAAAAATATAAATATTAAAAGACAAATTAGCTCCCCGTCACCAACTCACCATCAATCAATTATATTAGTTAAATATATTTTTTTTAATTTTTAAATATTGAACAAGTAAAGATGAACGAAGTAATAATTTAATTTCACAACTGGCATCTCGTAGATAACGGGCAAATGCATTGACTCGATAGCCAATTTGCATGTAAGGAATCAAATCCTATAACCAAATTAAAATTATGTTGAGTTTAAGTATAAATAATAGAGTATGTTCATTTGCCTTTGATTTATTGGTAGAAAGATTAATTAATACTCCACTTGAGTTGAGAAGGAAACGTTCACAACAAGCTAAAAAAAGATTTGGCAAACTATATAATAAGTAGCAACTTTACACACAAAAAAAATCAAAATGAAGATTATCAAAATAAAAAACTGTATATCATCAATTTCTGCAAATGAAATGATTCTAAATGAAGAACTGATGATAGAAATTTTCCTACGTCTTCCAGTAAAATCACTCGTACGATGCAAATGCGTGGCGAAAAAATGGAATAATCTCATCACTAGCCCTGAATTTACCCGTCTCAGAGTCCCCTGTTTCAACCCTGCTCGTGGCCTATTTTTGCTCTGTCATTCTTTCTTGATCAACCCTTTTCACGAATTCGTTCCCTTCACCCTCGAAAATCCAATTCAATCACCATTCCACAAGCTCATTTTCGTAGACGATCCTTATGGAATCAGAATCTTGCAATCTTGTAATGGACTTCTGCTATGTTGTAGTTTTCGCGTTCGTGGACCTAATGAAAATTACTATGTGTACAACCCAACGACACAACAATTTGTCACACTTTCGAGACTGGAAGGGCATGGACAAATTTCCAAGGCTGTAATTGGGATGAAACTAGCGTTTGATCCATGGAAATCCCCAAATTACAAAGTGATTTGCATTCGTTTATCTGATGAAGTCTTTCCTGATGATCAACACTATCAGGTCGAGATTTATTCGTCTGAAGTTAAGCAATGGAGGGTCGTGGGTTCACCTTTTCTAGCTCGTTACGATATAGGATTCAAGTACACTGGAGTTTATTGGAATGATGCAATTTATTGGGAATGTGGTGACAACTCGTTACGTTTCAATGTCGAACAAGAAATGTTTGATAAGTTTCCCATGCCTGACAATAAGGAGAGCAGAGTTGCTTATTACGGAGAGTCTAGTGGGCATTTGTATCTAGTACTAGTGTGTAAACGTCAGAAACTCAGTTTCTATGACATTTACGAGATGAATAGTGATGGCACAGAGTGGTACGTGAAGTACCAAGTGAATGTTGAAGATGTTGTTAACGCGTTCCCTCATATGATTCAACGTTATCATGATCCAACAGACTGGAATCACTTAGCCATGAGTGTGCTTTGTGTTGTTAGAGGGGAGAAAGAGGAGGAGGAGGAGGCCTTCATGATTTTGCACATTCCCAAAATGATTATACGTTATAACTTGAGGGATAACACATTCTACAAGCTATGTGAATTTGAAAATAAGAGTATTGAAGAAAATCAATTTGAGGATGAAGATGAAGATTATGAGGCCCCTATTTCCCTGCAATTTAATAGGTTTGGTGCTTTCCAATATGTTGAATCTTTATTTTGTATGTGAAGTCATCTACTTTTTTTTTTTGATAATGTAATTGGAAAAAAGATCATATTTGTCTTCCTGAATTATGTCCATTATTTGATTTTCAATGTCCAACTTGTTGTCCATTAGTTTCTTCATTTTCTCCATAAGGAAATGGTTTTTGATATAATAGTAATAAATTATCATTAGCTATTGGTGTGTGGAGTAGTACTATATAAGCATATATTTATTCGGCCTAAAATAATTCACTTAGAAATTATTTAATGTTATTAAGAAAAAAAAGGTGGTTGTTGAATGAGAGTAATACTTGCACTAGTTCGTTTATCAATAGATAGCTTTTATTAATTTTATTTTTGCTACTTTCTTTAATTATCTCAAAGGCATTTTCAAATTACTAAAGAGGAGAAATTGAGGATTCATTGACTTTAACTGTTAGGGCTCGTTAGGTTGTGAACTAAATATTTTAGAATTAATTATTCTGAGGTTAGTTATCTTGGGATAACTTATTCCACGACTTTATATGAAATAAGTTATCTTATTACTATGATAAAAATGGTGAAATAAATTATTCCATAAACAAATAAGACACCAAATTTTTATTGCAAGATTATATATTTTTATTCCTCATACCAAACGATCCCTTCATTTGTTTGAAAAGACGGGAACGGCTCAATATACATAAATTTGAAGGACTAAATAAGTGCTGGACTATACTTGAACGTAGGGGTGACAAAATCAATATAAGGATTTATTGATGAATAGGGAGTAGCTTTGGTTGAACCACATGTTTTCTGATGTATTATATAAAGTTTGCCACAAACATTTTCAACAAATTCTCCACCATTATCTGTCAACGTGACCTTTGTTGTTTATCTTGTATTCCAAACATACTTAGAACAAAACTTTAAACATCTTTGTAAGAAAACAAAGTTTAAGAATATTTTCATAACTAGAAAATTAAAACTAGTAGCTACACTAAAATCAGAAACAGATTTTTTAAAAAAATAGACGAAATATTTTTCTTAAAGAAGAATTGTTGTTAATATGTGTCTAAAGAATCGTACTGATTCCAACAAACTTTGCAGAAACATGAAATTACCAAATTTAATGAACCAGTGAAGAACAAAAGAATAAAAGAACTGAAATTAATTCACAAATCTAAAGTTTGTAAAACACGTACCAGAATTTGGAAAAAATTTTATAGGAAAAAGATCAAGTCCACTGAATTCACAGTGTCTCTTTAAGAAAATTATTCTCCTCTAGTATCCGAGGTTTGATTTGAATATGACCTCCCAGGGTAAAATGATCTCAATCACCAGAGTATAGATACCAAAAACTCCGGTGTCAGCGAACCACTCAACGGCAGTAAACTACACTTAGAATACTAGATTTAGTAGTTGAATAAAAAGTCTATAAATTCTATATCAAAATGAGAGGAAATCCCTCAATTTATAGAAAACAAAGGGTAGTGCGAAAATGTTCTTATTTTGCCTTACCGAAAAGGTTACAAACCTTTGGAAAAGTCACAACTTTTTCATAAAAATCGCAACTCTTCATTTTTCATTCACGCCTTTTTAAAATGCAACAACCTTTACTGACCTATGGAACTGTTCTTGTAAAGACCCCATAGATCTGTATGAACCAACTTAAAGCAACTACTAGTTTTTAGACTACTTGTAGGGAACACTGTTTGTGTCTGCTTAGCCTACGGAGATGCTATATATTTATCTAATTTATTGCTAATCTTCTGTGAATTCACAGGCAACAGCTTGTTTAAAACTATAGACGAAGCATGTCCAAGTCTTTTATGCCACACTTCAACATCCAACCGCATGCTGTAAGTATAGGTCCCCTTCTTCCTTATCAAGTTCAACATATAAAGGTTGATTTTAATTTCCAGTTCGACCATTAACTGACGAAGGAGCTGTATTATTGTTGAGATTCTGCCTTAAATCGCCATTTGCATGTTCAATTTCTGATGAATTGATCGGGCTTAATACTTCAATCTTTTGCAGCTCTTTATAGCAGAAGCAAATTCCTTTTAGAATTTGAAATCAGTAACATGATCCAGCTGAATGCTCTGAATCTTGACACAGATCGAAACTCAAATTGACCTTACACTATTCTTTACGCTCTCGAAACATCTAAAATTTATTTCTTTCTATATAAAATGTAGTTTAATTTAACCTTCTAGACACTATTTCTTATGCTCTCGAAACACTTAGAATTTCTTTCTTTCTATATAGTTTACCATATACTAGTCTTATTAATTGGCGAATGGTGCAAAACACATACATTAAACTAGTTAATATAAAATACGTGTTACTTATCATTGTTATTTTGCATACATTAAACTAGTTAATATAAAATACAGGTTACTTATAATTGTATTTTATGATTGTAAAGGCATTGGTAAGAAAGATAGTATCAAAAACTTTTTCAGTAAAAAAGTAACTAAAAAAACCCATAAAGCTATTATTTTTTTTAAAAAAGCATAAATTTAGAAGTGGTTTTACATGAAAAATGTTAAATGACAAAAATGATTATGCAAATGTAGTTAGAGATTTTATTTTAAAAAGATGTTCCAAGAATTACAAAAATATTATGATTAAAATAGTGAAAATTTTAGTCAAATCAAAATGATTCACAACAACCATATTTATTAAACGTATCTTGAGGATAGTTCTCTCGGGTGGTAATTCGGCACTTAGGTTAAATTTGGACGGATCAAAACGGGTCAGGACTAAACAGGTCAAGATTTAACCTGATCCAAATTTGTTTGGGCCAAAATGAATTAGGTCATCAATAGGGATTTGATAGCAGGTTAGTAACGAGTCATAATTCAACCCGTCAATTTTTATAAAGTTTTAATAGTTTTATTCGTTATTTATAAGCTTGTAGTATCTAAATATTTTTTTATTATAACTATATATAACATATAAAATAAATTAATAATATTTTAACAAGATTTTTCAAAAATCAATTTGGATTATCTATTAACGGATTGAATTGAGGTGTTGAGCTAACAAATAAGCGGATCAATAATCAATCCAAATTTAAATAAGTTGAATGGGATTTTGGGACCCCTAATTCTCCAATCCAATTTGATCCTACCAAGAAAAATATGATGAAAGATATTTAAGCACCTTATGTGGAACAATTAAATATGAGTTTAACTACTATCCACCGACGGTGGACAAAAAATTACACGGGCATATTATTTTTG